GTCTCGCAACTTAAGTATTGTTTTATCTATAAGTTGATTTTTTATATTCAGATATGCTATAAATACTATTCTTATTACAGATAAGTTTTTTAGATTAAGTAATGGAAAAGGAAAGGTTTGCATTGTTTTTAAAATACATTTATTGGAACTGAGTAAAATTTTTTTAAAACGTTCTACTGGTAATTCGGTGGACAAGCTTTAATCAATAGAGCATAATTTTAATCATGTTTATAAAGGTATCCGACTAAAATTTAGATCGAAATGTCGAAAGAAAACCAAGTAATTAGAAGTATTTCTGTAAAGTACCTAAGTAGAATTATAGTACAGTGCTCTTGTGAGCACCGAAAACAACCACACAGATATTTGATCACCTTCAATGACTAACATAATGTATTTTAATACTTTCTTAGATTTACGTGAACATTTGACATTTTAAATAAAACCATCTTTTCTTATTTATTTTGATTTTTGGTTCCCGACGTTTCGAATGCTTTACAGCAATCATGGTCACGGGAGAGACTAAGGTCATACACGTCTCAAACACATACTTGTTATAGACAGTGCCTACCCACTATTTTACAAAAATGATTACAAAAATTCAAAAATGGCAATAATGGCATTCAATAATGGCAATAAATCCACGAAATAATCCGAAATGATTTTATTTATTTTGTTTAGATAGATTTTATTGTATAACACTACTTGATAGGTTTTTGTATTTTTTTTTTGGTTTGTCTGCCAACACTTGTCTCTAGAACTAACAGATTTCACTATTAGAAGCAAAACAATTTTACTTAAGCGTTAAATTTTCTGATTAGATATTCAGCTAGAATAAAGCCGAATAGTTAATACGACATAAGTAGGTAGATGCGTGATAAAGGATTTTTTAAACTAAACACTAGATGCTCTGGCGTAGCCTAGATGTGGACAAACACTTAGATAAATAAAATTTCTAATTGGTTTTACCTTTTGTGTACACCATAATAAATTATTTCAAATTATTATAGAGGACGACTCACGCGCTACCAATATTGTAGGTATAATTGAATTGGACACAGACGAAATAAAAGACAACCAAATTTTAATTTTCATATAATATATCTTAAAAGTTAGATTATGTGTAGTAGAACGGCGGATCCCAATAACCTATTTATCCTATAATGATACGAATTTGACATAATTTATATAGAGCTTACTAGCGACTCACCCTCGCTTCGCTCGGGTCCGTCCCTAGGTACGTTTATTTTGTTATATCTCAAAGGGTTTAGGCAGCGTTTTCGTTGAAAGCTCCCAGATATCTTATTTTTTCCGACACCACCAACAAATATCGTTATATTTTAGCCAATGTATACCAAAAACTTAACAAATTATATACTAAAACCTTCCTCTTGAATCACTCTATCTATTAAAAAAACCGCATTAAAATCCGTTGCGTAGTTTTAAAGATTTAAGCATACATAGGGATATAGGGACAGAGAAAGCGACTTTGTTTTATACTATGTAGTGATGTCAATATTCTATATCCAGTGAGGGTAATTTAAGATAGATAGGTTATTGAGAACCGCCATAAGAAACGTCCTAAGTAATTATCTCGACAGTTATGAATGCTGTAACATTACATAACTCGGTTACGTTCATAACTGTACGGGGATGTCATTCAATAGTGCTTTTACTGTTATAACCGTAATTATTATCAGAGAAAAAGGTGATTGTGGGCTTACTTTAACCGATGTTACAAAGCTTTGATACTATACCTAATTTATTTGTATTTTGGAATTGTTTAAAAAAGCTTTTTTTTTTTATCCTGACATTACCTAAGTAATTATAATTTGATGTAATCGTAAGTAGCCTATGCACAGATAATATAACCTAAATGTCTGTGAGCCTATGTTATTATATCCCATAAATCTCAATGTATGGAATTCTACTTATCCGCTGCTGCGTAATATAAGGAAAAACCAACAAACTTTCGAATTTGTAATATTTTTAAGACTTATACAAAAATATTTAGAATTTACTGTAAGATTCCTTGATTGTTTTTCTTAAGATTCGCTTCGCTTTGGGTCACTTGAATCTCGACAATAAATTGTTGTGTTGATTAATATGATAAGTTTCGTTAACATAAATTACTAGTTTTAAAATACAGTATTACAACATTTTATATGTATTTCTTGAATCATTGAAAGCGAAAATATTATCTTGTCTGCCTCGCTGGTCTAGTAGCTTGCATGTGCTCTTGGTTTGAGTCCCGGGTCAGACCAAGTATACCGGGGTTTTCTGTCTAGAAATTCTTAGTAATAGCCCTAAGTTGAAAAATTGGCAGAGTCACATGTTGCTTCGGAAAGCACATGATTCCGTCGGTCCGGCGTCTTATCTCTCACCTGCACAGGTGACGAGTCTCAATGGGACTGGCCGCTGTGGCCAATATTGGTCATGGAATAGATATGTTATATATTTTACTTAACTAATACTATATATACTAATAGAGTTACAGAAAAAAGCCCTTATACAATAAAAGGGCTAAACTTGTACAAATTTTGATCTAGAAATATTTTCTTCTCATGAGTATCTTTGGTTCGAATACTTAAAGTAATTTTCTTTTATACCATAAGTGATTTCGCCTTATTCTTCTAATATTTATAACTTTTTGGAAGTACAATCATTATAGGTAATTTATACTATCATTAAATGTTAGCCCCGTACATTCGTCATTGAGTTTAAAATTCTATATTTAGGGCGCTTCAACATGGTTTAAATTGGCCTGATAACTGAATTAGACGTGTGTGCACCAATTTAGATATTTGTTGAGCTTTAGAAATAGTTTACACGTTAAAAATATTACTCAAATATACAAAATAACCACAATTTTTTTATTAAAATTATTAATAATGCAGTGTGTAATGCAAATTATTCTTTAACTAAGATTAGACAAAATAGATTAATTTATTTATTTTAATAATTCGATATTATTATATTTTTTTTATTTTGGTACTTGAAATGAAGATTAACTTCTCTAACTACATACTACTACTACTAGTACATACTACCCCACAAAAAGATTACGTGGTATGTTATGGTTAAATGGGGCTTTCCATATATGAAATATTAAGTATTTATTGGCATTATTTAGGTCTATATATAAAATAAGAAAGTTTATTGCCCTGTATTAAAAATATAATAAAAGCCGAAAATAAACGTGACAAACCGCTATTGGAACACTTGGCAAGTCAACGATATGCCGTGCCAATGAATTACCACTTACCAATGAGTAACTGACCTATGACAATAGAATCTCTTATATAATTTTATAATACACTAGCATTGCCCGCGGCTCCGCCCGCGTTCAGATGACCAAAACCCAAATTCTTAGGTTTTACATACTATTAGTATACTCTTAAGTCTTACATTGCATTTTTTGTATTTTTTCTCTTTTAAAAAGTATAGGTTCCAGGTCAACATATAGGATACTTTTAAAAAGTATCCTATATGTTGACCTGGAACCAGCAAAATTATGTGAATAGTGTAGCATGTGTTAGTTATAGTACTGTTACGCCGCTGGAGGTCAATGATGCAAACTTAAAATCTTTGTGCTTCCAACGCATATTTGTAATCAGACCTTTTTAAACGTCCCACTGCTGAGCGTGGGCTTCCCTTTAATGCAAGAGGGATTAGGGCATAGTCCATCACACTGGCAAATCGCGGGTTGGCGGACTTCTTCCAGACATGCAGGTTTTCTCACAATATTTTCCTTCACCATATTATCAAGTGGTAATCATGTTGGAAATAATTCCCACATAAAAATACAAGAGGTGCGAGACTCGAGAATTGAACCTACTTTACTTGGTTTTTCCAAGCGTGCACGTTACCACCGAGCTACCACTAACAAATTAATTTTTCACAAAAATTTTGCAAACACTATCTGGCTGTGAAAAGCTTCAGCAAATGCAATTTAATTTTCAAAAGATTGCCCCAACGTTCCCAAGAAAATTGGTTTTCGATATTAAAGCAATTTCGCCACTCGTTCGTGCAAATGAATTCCATTATTTCCTTAATCATTTATACTTCATTAGGTTTTTTCAGTTGGATTTAATAATTCATTATAAGGTTGAGTGCAAAGTATTCAAACTTTTTTCTCGTTACATTGAAAGATATTTTATATTATCTGGTATTTTTGACAGTTCATTGTAACCTATTCTGTTATTATTTAAATGTTTATACTAAATACCAAGCCCTAGGCGACCAAACACTAAAATTAGGTTGGTAGGCATATAATAATACATATTATTATTGCTCAGGAATGTACGTGCGTTTTATATCGTAGTTTACTTACAATACCTTTTATAATCTACTAGTTTCACAAACAACAGTGAGATAATCTTAAATTCTTCATTAGTAAAAAGGAGCTTTATTTCTATTTCTCCAACCAAAAAAAGCTTTATAGAAATATGAACTCATTCATGTTAATGATGAGTTTTTACGCAAATTTTCCCCTCCCATTCTATAAGAACTCGATTTCCTTCGCAAGAACCTTTTTTATCGGGGATATTACCTTATGCCTGCGTCTAGAGGGAAAATTAATTTTGCGTTTTTTTTTATTGTAAATTAGTCTAGTATTGCTTTCTACATTTCTTTATACGTAAAGTAACACAATTTAACATTATTTAGGTGAGTTTTGTGTCAAACTGTTGGACTCTTCTCACTCATAAAGCGTGAGCCATTTATAGGTACCTAGTCCATCTAGGCGTATAATAGCGGTATATTTTATATAGTTAAAATTTAAAAAAAAGTAATCATTCTCATAATAGGCAGCCAATACAAAACACTATATTTTTTGTCATCTTTTTGACACCTCTCTCTGTCACTATAACACAGTGAAAATAACCTATAAAGCTATCATATTTTAATTGCCACAGATAATTGAAACAAACTAAAATGTGAGAATAAAACTTTTTAGAAGTTTTGAGTGGAAGTGTACTAGTGGTGTATTAAATTTACCCAAAATGGGTAGAAGAAATGTAAGTGTTATGAGACTGGGGAGATGTGTGGCATTCCTTGCTGCTGCAGCCTTCCTCCTTCCCTTCACGATACTGCTAATGGTGGCCGATCAACAGTATAACCTGACATATAACTCCAAACGAGTCTTCTATCAAGAGGTATGTATATTTTAATTAAAAAGTGGACAATTATAATTTTAATTTTGAAAAAAATAGGCATCATTTATTAAGAATAATTTATAATCCTACAGACTATTGAATATATCTACTGTACTCTAGAAACATAAGCTGCATGATTCCGTGTCGTGTCGTCTACGAAGAATGCGAAATAAAAAAAAAATACATTCAATTTGAATTTCTTTTTTTACAGAGTGACTTCTATAAAATTAACGGAACGTTAAATACACCAACATTTTTACGGACACAGGTAATAAAATAAAATGTCACTTGACGCTAACGTTGCACAGCGCTTAATTAAAAACATAACAAAGGTCTAAAGACGACTATGCACGAATTATTTGCCTTTATCCCGTTACAATCCTGACAATTTGTAACGTAACAACAAATATCGTTAATGCTTAGTAAAAATCTTTATAAAACAGACTTACAAGCTTATATTGACGCTATTCCTTAAACGAACGCATGCCAAATACAAAAAAAGGTTTTCTTAATTATTTAAAATACAAATTAATGCCTTTATGTAAGTTTGTTTTGAGATATTTTTTGGGAATTTAAAAAATATTTGTTAAACAAGAAAAGCTTTTAATCTGTTTATTTCAAAAGTGCTCTACAAATATAATAATAATTTTTATATTGAAATAATAAATAGCAAAACTACAATTATCAAACTATATTTGTACAAAAAAAATATATTATTCAATATATTTTATAAAAAGTAATTATTTTTAATTTAGTAATAAATGATTATTCTAAATTTATTTTAATAGTATATTTTTATTGGCATGTTAAAAGTGCTATGTAGCCGGTGTAATGACATTTTCTATTACAATGCGTTAGATATTTCAGACGTTTTTGCGGTGAGACCGTTTTACGAGTATAGAATTATTTTTAAGCGCAAGAAAAATAATGTTACTACGATAGAGAAACAGTTACAATTGAAATTCATTTTCACCGTTATTATAACTTAATAGATCACTTCATTACGTTTACTGTTAGTAATGATCAATTAATTGCATATATGACTATGTAAATATATTTATTGTATTTATAACTGAATTGAAAAGCCATCTTGAAACGTTTAGATTATTTAGTTGTTGTTTATGATGTAATTTAGAAGTCACACAATTAATTTAGAGGATTTTGTTTGCCTATTCGCTATATAATAGCAATTTTGTATATACGTATCGTAAACTGCTCAACGGATTTTCTTTTGGCATTTTGACAATTTCGACCATTAACTGTACAATGGTTGAAATTAAACACCTAATGATATATTACGAATCTGTTCAAAGATTTATCGATGGTTCGAAATCACTCCGTCCAGCGCGCTCCTATACAAGCCAAGAGTAATATTTAAAGGGTCATATTATAATTAAATTTGATACAAATTTGTAGTGTTGGAATCGAATATATAAACATTAAATTAATGCTACTATGTAGGATAGTTGAAAAAAAATATTTTATAATAGAAAAAAATGTGACGTGAATCACGTCACGTGATAGAAATAAAAATTTCCGTTAACACTTTCTGGTTTAAATAAGCTAGTTTAATATATTTACATAAATTTCTTGTGCGGTATATGAAAAAAGTTAAATATGTGAACTAGTGGTGTTATTTGTGACATAAAGTTTTATCTCGTCTTGGGATAAAGGCAATACTGCACTTTGCTTAATGCAGATAATGTAGGTACTAGTCAGACTTCAAATTTGCACTGGTATATAAATAGAGAAATCACAATGTTTTAAAAGCTAAAAACACTGCAAAATAATGTTTTATTTAGATATAGGCACCTGTGTTACGATGATGCCGTTCTAGTAATAGTCAGTATACATATTCGTAGATCTTTCGTAAAATTTAAAAGTAAAAACATATAAACTAATTTAATATATAAATATTTAGGTACTTAGGTACATAAAAAGCTGTTTATACCAAAGTCATAGACATATTATTGAGTTTCAAGATCAAATTTTTATTGATAACAGAAGGTGAACTTCTTTTCATTTTATGGCAGACGAGTTTGATTTTCAAGTCAAATTGCCTGGAAAAATCCGTTGTGGTTTAGGTAAGCTAGATCCGCGAGATTTGATAGGTGTTTAGGGTTCCGTACGTCCGATACAAAAATCAACTCATTTTTTTTAAATATTTATATCCTCTCCAATTTGCATTTAGGTTCTTTAATTTTATGCATTTTTTGTATCGACTAATGTTGTTTAACATTTAACTTGATAATGACACCATAGGTATAAAATTCAATAAATATTTTGTAACAACCAGTAAAACAACCTTAAGACGCGAATCAGTCATCACATACAAAAAATCTAAATATTTTTACGATATGAATGCTAATTATGACCACCTGCTTATGTAATGTATATGTTATAGTCAAACTTCAAAGCTCAAGCACTTCCAGATTTGGCTACCCAAAGGAGGAAATCTTATGAGACAAACTTGGACGGTCAAATGCCGAAACTCAATACGAGCAAATCGGGGTTTGACCAGTCAGACATTAAATTAGTTACAGCTGAATGCGTTAGTTTGTTAGACTTAGGTATAAAAAACATATTTATTTCTTAATTTTAACGTTTATTCTTTCAATATTATACATAAGAATGGATTGATAATTATTTAAAAAGACATACAATTGAACGCTTTAATTATGAGGTATCTATCAGCTATCACTATAACCAAATTCGTGATGAGCACTTCCAATCACATCTAATAACTTCTCGTCTGTAACGTATTCTTAGAAATTTTTGTATAAGATAATAGTTTTATCATTTTTTGTCACCAAAGCATACAATGTCGTAACAGCTATAATATAAAGAAGTTTTCTTAACAGATTCTACCTAATAGATAATTTTCTTATACTTTTGTTTATTCTCAATATGGAATGAATACTGGAAAAAATAGTAATTTTCTACATAAACTTCGATTTTAAAGCTTCTTTATCCACATTTTCAGTCACAATATGGTTTGGTTCACTCATCTTCAAGCACACACACGCACGCACGCTTAATGTATAAATATGGAATAACAAATGAATTTATTAGACAGCCGCTAAGAGTTACGCTAATATTAAAACTTTTTAAACATGCAACAAGTGTAGTAGAAATCGTCGTTTAATGATGGTAGCTGCTAAAATAGACTAGGCAAAGTCCGAAAAAGATTATTTTGCTTTTGTCGTTTGACTAAAAAGTTAGGATTTTCGTGGTTTGTTTGTGGGGTTTGCTAGAAGGCGTTCTTCAAACCAGTCGTTCCGCAAAGAGGCTACATATCGATCTTTGACTATAACATGTATGTATATGTTTATTTTATTGTATACATAATCATTAATCATTTACATACTAATATTATAAATGTGAATGTCTATATGTTTGTTTGTTTGTCCTTACTTCCCTTCGAAACGGAGCGATAGATTGATGTGGTTTATTATTTATTATATGGAGATTGTTGAACAGGATGACTGGACAGTGTCATACGCTACTTTTTATTGTTAGATAATATGTTATTTTATATAGCACTTTAAGCAATTTTGGGAGCGCATGCGTCAGTCCCTAAGGGACGCTAGGACTGGATCATTCGTAATAATAAAAATAGTATAATAATAAAACGAAAAACATTGTGTTGTGTTCGTACACTGTTGATTTGCCCTTCTTTCACGCACCACGGAGCAACGAATCGAAACATTTTTTTGTGTAGAGTTAGTTTATGGACCGGAGAGTGACGTTGACTATTACAGCTTTATAAAGTGAATTTAATGATTGACTTATATGTATATTTAATTATAGCTAGAATATAAAGAAATATAATGAAGTGAAAAGTATCCATACTAGGCGAAATTCATCACTATTTTTTATTAAGCTAGAAGTCTCTTTTAATTGATAATATCTATACATATAATAAAATTGTAACTAAGCCGAATCTGTACATTAAATATTTTTTGGAAAATCTTATTGGAATAAACATTATTATCGATACCGAGGCAGTATCTATAGTTTTTAGAATTTTTGTCTGTCTGTCTGTCTGTCTGTCTTTTACCGCACCACAGAAAAACCACTGGAGGGTTTTGGTGAAATTTGGTATGATGATAGCTGGTTATCCGAGTCAACATATAGGATACTTTTTTACCGCGGGAAAATATCTCATTTTTGAGAAAAATGACAAAAATTGCAATGTAAGAGTATACTAATAATATGTAAAGCCTAAGAATTTGGTTTTTGGTCACCTGAACTCGGGCCGAGCCGCGGGCAATGCTAGTTAATTATAAAATTAATAAAGTAAAATGCGTTGATCATAACTGTCCCCAAAGGTTATTGTTCGTTACCTAGGAAAGGATAAATCAATACTGTTCTACTTCATAATAATGAATAAAATTTTAAAAATATTTACAATGATTTTACAGGCTTATTTCTTCTTACGAAAGATAATGCAGCTTTGAAAGTTGAATGCGCCACTCAAAATATAAAACAAAAGAAGTAACTTTGTATGCACGTCCTAACCTTAGGTCAATGAATAACGGTACTCGAGTTAGAACAAAATGAATGACTTGAACTGTTTTGTATGAGCTTTCTAAAAAAATCTATACTATAACTGTTATAGCTAGTAAGTCGTGATAGTATTTTTTAAGTTAACATGGCTTAAGTTTAAATTAAGTATAATATATAGATAGATTTAGATTGATACAGAGATAGTGTTAGCGAAAAAAATAAAAGAATTCGTAAGTAGCTACTATTTTTTAAAGTCTACTTCAAAGGAAAAGTATAACGTAAATTCCATAATAATTAATGAATGAATAATGAATAAGGAAAATATACGAAAATATATCGCTATGAGTATATAATACCGATATTTGAAATAAAAATTTAAATATTTCAAATATTAACACAATTTAGTCAATCTAGCTTAAGTGTGTCTAAGTTTAAAAATGTTCCACAGAAGTTTAATTGAACGTATAAGTGTGTCTTCATAATGATGCACAAAAGCACGGTACCTATACTTAATTATTTGAATACCGCTCGAGGGTCCGAACAAATTGAACGTGTATAAATCACGTGAAAAACTTTTTTGTGCGTCTCTGTAATAAAGTGTTTAGCGATACAAGAGGTTTGAAGATTTTTTATTATTTTTCCATTACGTTCTTGTGGCGATTTATTCTCCGTTTTCAATATAAAAAATAATATCATTTTATAAACATCTAATATTAAAAGTGATTCATACTGTCGAATATTGATTTAAATCCTATTTGT